AAAGGACCTTGCCCCGTCTTACCTCTCTGATCTTCTCCTTGCCTCCTCAGGTTTAAGCTCAGAGGGGCCAGTCTTCTCTTCGCTGCTCCTTCACTGCCAATATTGTTTAATGGCAGGACTTAACACTGGCAGGACTTCGTTGTGATGACCTTCTTTAGCTAGCTTAAAAAAATTCCTATTATTGCCTTGTTTTATATTTCTGTGCTATATTTTATTATTTTATTGTGTTTATTATTTTTAGCTATGTTCAGCATTTATTTTCCGCTGCAGCTGTTTTAAAGATCAGATGGATCAGGTCAGGCTACTGAGGATGAAATGGGACAAAAGACTGTGAACACTTGTCATCCTCACCAGTGTCGGGTTTGGAGAACTCCAGGCAGAGGATCTCAGAGTCGTGAGCTTGAACATTCAGGATCTCCTCCATGCTCTGCAGATCATGGATCCTGGAAGGCAAACATCCCTCAGACATCATTCCAAACATCTACTGGGTCAGAAGAGCTGCTGATTCTGTTGCAGTCTCACCGGAGGACTCCGACCCGGTCTCCAGAGGCCAGATGTTTTCCACCTGGACTGACTCTCAGGGTTCTGATGCCCACTCGGTTCTGGTCCAGCTGCTGTGCCTCCGGTACAGATGAGCCTACCTTCTCAGAGTTGGTGCAGGCAGCAGTGATGCTGTCCGTGTCCAGAAGGCTGCTGATGTTGTTGTCCACATAGAGGACCTTCTGTAGGTCCTGGGGGGCAGAGGTCAGAGGTCAGAGCAGTCCAGCTGTGCTACAGAGGTGTGGGTGTGTGCAGTCCTACGTTGCTCAGGATATTCCTGTGGAGGATGTTGTGTCTGTCGATGTTCCACAGCCTGATGGTGTTATCAGAGGAACAGGACAGGAAGGAACCTGGGGGGGACTGCGCCTCACCACCTCCATCTCCATCACCGCTCACCTGCAGGAGACCCAGAAGCTCAGACTGGGACATTAACCCCTCCCACCTGCTGTCGTTCTGATAAACCCTGGATATTTTCTAAATCAGGAGTCACTAACAGGCGGACCCCGATCCAGTAACGGAACAAAATTTTGAGCACTTTCTGGTTTATCAGTGCAGCTTTAATAGTCTTTTAGTGGTCACACGTCCAAGGAAACCTGCAGACTAGTGATGGGTCCATTAATAGAGATGCGTGGGTGCGTGCATGGAGCCCATAGAGCTAAACATTGCATCGGTGCGTGTGTGGTTTCCAGAAAGTAATAAGACCGATCCAGGAGTTTTTTCTAACTGACTGACTCACTAAACTGTTTAAAAACGTATCTCTTAACATGATTCATCTGATTTAAAAAAAAGTCTCATCTTTTGTGGTTTATCATTAAAATGATAAAGAATTTTGGAGCCTAAAAGGAATAGGAACGTTTCAGACGTTGGGTTTTTATTTTAACTTTCTCGTTGTGTCACCCTTTTCCTCTCAGCTTTCACTCAAATTGACTCTTAGTTTATTTACTGTTTTTACTGCACTTATTGTTTTAAAATAATGATTTAAAATCCTAGTCAACAAGCATCCTCGCTCACATTTTCCCCTAAATTTTTTACGTTATGATAAATGTTTACATTATTTATTGGCTGCATCTAAAAATATCAAAGATTCAATTTAAACATAGATATGAAATAATACAATATAACCTAGAATAACTTCAATGATATCATTGTTCTAGGTCAACAAATCAATTCAGTTTAGTCTGTCCAATCAGCTGCCTGTAGTGTCTTTAAATGTCCAGCGGTGTCAGTATTCTGTGAGACAGAATCAACGCTGCATCAATACAGTTTGGCTTCAAGATGCCTCATTAAGCATCACTACTACAGACAGATTGCGTGCGTGTTTGGCTCTACCGATTGTTCTCCCGACAGGAAAGAACACAGAAAGCTGATTACTGAAGTAAAGAAGTAAAGAAGAAACAGGTGGAGAAAAAAGATAAATACAGGTGGACGAGACAGAGGAAAGGATGCAGACAGCAGATTGCAGAAACAGAAAAGCGGGAGAGAAACTGACACAAGTAGGAAAGGGAAAAATAGCTGTGTCTAAAAAAAACAAAAATGGGACAGTGAAAATCGAACATTAAATGGAAAGAGTAATTTCTGTTTATTCTTCCTATTGGCAACACAAAACCAGGATGTCTAGTTATAATATATATATATATTATAACTACACATATATAAATAAACACTCAAATCACAAATTAGGTTAGAAAAAACACGAGGTCACAGAGCCGAACATGCGTAGTCTGATGGGATTTTGCCCTTTCAGTGCTCAGCAGTGGGGAAATCCTGGATATCTACTGATGCAGTTAGCTGACCTCCATGCAGGTTTGGCCCTGATTCTCATCAGTCACTCCAGGCCCCACTATAGAAATAAACTGAATTGAATTGAATGACATGATCTAGTCTCTGGAGCGATGTAATGTTCTCTGCAGGTGTGAATCATGCAGATATCAGAGATCCAGAATCAAACCAGCAGAGGCAGAATTTAGTTCTTATGTTCCTCTTTGGATACCTGAGATGTTGAGAAGCTGCTGGCTCCTTTTTGACACTCTGCCAGTCACTGTTTGCTTTACATAAAGTCTATTTTAAATTCAGTGCTGCACGGTTCTTCTCTTTATATCAATCCAGTTGTGGTTTTTCAGATGATATAATAGAGCTCTGGGCAGATTAACAGACGTTGTCGCTACCCGATCCGTCCCGGAAGCACGATCCGTCCTGTGCATGCACGAACATATATACATCCGGGTGTCCATTAGTAATGTAATTATGGTACTAAAACGACTTATTTCTTTCCTTAACTCACTAAAGAATGCTAATACACATCTTTAAAAAAATGTTTCATGACATTTGTGAGACAATTTTGATGCTTTTTCAAATTTTTTTCCCTGAAACTGCTTCTCTGACGTCATCATCAGACATGCTCAGAGCCGTCCGGCTAAATCTGATTAAACCATGTTTATCTGCATTCTAGTTGTTTCTCTCTTTAGATTACACACTATATACCATGATTTCAACATAAAAAGGAAAACATATAACTCATAAAGACTAGATTTATGTTTAAATCCAAAGCTGAAAAAGTAAGCTCCTGGAAGTAGCATTGGATCCGGTGCAGATCGGACAAAACAGATTGACAAAACAGGATTTTAAGGCATTTATTTTCTCTGAAAATACATTATTAACCTTTAACACATTATAGCTTAATACGTTTACTATTTTGGGGGAGGAAAAAGTGTTATTTAGGTCTTTTTAACAAAATAAAATGGAGGGCGTCCCGGATGTGTATCTGGAACGGAACGTGCTTCCGGGACGGATGGGGGAGACGGACCTTTTAGGCAAAAGCTGCACCACTTCATGGAGAAAATGGTCCTCCTGTCCATTTCTGCTGCTGGATCTTAGATTACCATCATATACTGAACTCCATAGACCACATCTAGGGGCTATAGTTCTATAGTGTTTCCCTCCATTGTTCAGTTCCAGTTTGAGTCAGACTGATACTGGGAGTAATGGGAGTCACTGGGAACATACACAGCTTGTTTCAAGTTAATGGATTTAACTCATTTCAGACTAAGGTGAGGAAAATGAGAACACCGACCTCCAGGCCCCACACGCAGGAGGAGTGGTAGAGGGCCGAGTAGAGCTTCCCTGCCCTGCGGAGCTCCTGGATGTCCCACACGTACAGACTGTGGTCATTGTAGACGCAAGACAGCCAGCGGTTAGTGGGGTCAAAGGTCACAGCTACGGTGTCTGGATACCGAGAATCCTCTCTGGAGGAGAAGAGCTGGCTGAAGAGGAGGAAGAAGACGATAAGAAGGATGAAGGTAAACATCCAATGGTGAAGAGATAGAGTGGATAAGCCAGTCTGCTTTGCTGGGTTTGATGCTGTAGATCAACTCAATGTAGATTATCAGATAATAATGTAGAAATAATCTACATTATTTCATAATTTTGACAATCACAGCTAACTGGTTATAATGATCACAGCTAACGTTTTAATAATAGGGAGGGAGGTTGACAATGAGCAATGTAAAACATTTTTATAACTACTAATAAAACATGAGGTGTGTAACGATGAAAATGTGAAAATAAATGAATGGGTGTGAATACTTTTGCAGGGCTCTAATATAGAAAATGAGTGAATGAACATCAGCTGGGTTTACCTTAAAGGTTTCTGAGTTACCTGGCATGGACCACGGAGGCGACGTCGGCGCCCAGGCGGTGTGGACACGGCAGCGTGCAGAGGAAGTGCAGGTCGACAGGACTGAAGGCTCGAACCGTCCCGTCAGAACAACCACAGAAGATAAACTCCTCAGTGACAGACAGACAGGTGGCCTGAGATGTCTACAGACAGACAGACAGGGACACACTCAGAGACAGGGACATGTTCCAGAAGGTTCAGCAGCACCGGCTCTACATTGACTCATCTGATGAATGAAGCCTGTGAACTGGAGTAGGTTTCTGAATGCATGCTTTGATATGAGGCTGCTGCACACCCTCAGAGGGAAACAATGAGCTGTGTGTCGATCTAAGCGGCCAACAGTGATGGAGGATGTGGTGGTGGGAAAACGAGAATGTTAAGGGGAGGCAGGACTTACAGAGACAGAGTCGACTGTCTGCACAGGAAGCAGGGGGAGAAACAGAGGAAGTAGATTTTAAAGCATCAGAGGGACATGCAGCGGCGAGCTGCAACCATGATCAATACAAACAGATAAACATGATGGAGCCGCGGGAAAGATGGCGGCGCGGATATCCAGGAACCCTCAGTTAGAAACCAAAGAAAAGAGCCTGAATGGCTCATGGACCTCCAGTCTGTTCTCAAAGAGCAGAACCAGTCAATTCTAAATTCAAAATGTCTGAAGCAGCTTTGCTTCAGACATTAGTTTTAACGTTTTTTTTTTTTTTTTTTTATATTTGTAAGTTGTTAGATAAACATTTAAACAGAAAATACATTTCATAAAGATCATCAAAGGGGAGACCGATTATATCAAGTGGCTAAAATATATGATTGTCCTCTCATAACTTAATAATGCTTAAAGGTATACTATGCAACCGGTGTTGATTTTCCAGCGAGGCTCCCCCCAGAGGGCGAAAGTAAAACTGCACTGTCGTAAATACGCACAGCTGTTCTCCTGGTTTCTCCGTCAAGCCAGGCGCGGTTGTTTTGAGCTTAGCAGACAGGCGAACGCAACGAATCACCATGTGTACTGCGGTAAGTGACTATTTTGTTCCAATTTTCGAGTTTGAAAATTTCGCTGTTTTTTCGCTGGTTCCGCCATGATAACTGCACAAAAACTGCGCTAGCAACGAGCATGACTTTCACTGGGGGCGTGTAGCAGTTCTCGCCGTAACGCAAGACCGACTCTCGCGATGCACGAGACTTCTGAGCCTGTGGGTGCGGGCCGTGGGCTCCTGCAATTGCAAGTGCGGTATTTCCCCCGCAGACCACCAGGGCGGCCGAGAAAACCTTTGTTCAACCTGAAATGACTCATTTAATCATCCAAAACGTTATGGAACACATTAATTAACTAAAAAATGTTGCATAGTATGCCTTTAAATGTCCCCAAATCCACAGGATTTGTTGTTGATGGAGAGAGAAATAAACACAGTTAAAAACTTGCAGGTGAATTAATTTCTTCCCATCTTATGGAGGGGGAACTGATTATTTCAGGCATCTGAAATATCTATTCTCTCCTCTCCCCATCCCATATCTTTGGGAAATAAAGTTCAACTGTTTCCAAATTTCTATAAAAATATGTGTGATAGCATGTTGTATGCTAGAAATGTCCTTAATCCATTAATCTGTCATATTTTACATTAGAACGGGATTAACCAGAAAGTCTACACTCTCATCTTTTCAGGAACTCTTCATTTTTGTGTCCTGCTATCAGCCAGTTTCCATCCTCTTATATTACCAATGGAAAATGATAAATACACACTACAAGTTGGAAAACTGTGTTTGGTGACTGACTTTTATTTCTGTCATGTTTAACTAACAGAAGTTGGAAAAAGACAGATTCTCTTGGCGTTTAAAAATAACACAAAACAGCTTAAAAGGACCTCATCCATTTATTTGTTTTACAATTTTGTAAACAACAGCTGCTGATTAAACTGGATGTTTCAACCTTGACATGATTATAGGAGTTGTTTTTAGCGAGAAATCGATCAGAAGCGCAGTGAAAATGGTCCCATCCGCCATGTCCGCCATGTCCGCCTCTCTGGCTTAAATGTGCGCTCCCGACACAAGGGGAAGTAAATTTCATACGACACCGGGACAGAGAGCGTCTGGCAGTCAGTCAGAGCTTCACATCCCTGGGACATCAGTCATAGTCTAGCCGTTTCTTAATTCACGAGAACGCAAGTACTGACTCGCGTTCTCTTCAAGTCCGGTCTTGGCGAGAACACAGGAAAGTAAGGACTTGGCGAGAACGCGAGCATGCAGCATAGTTATGGGTCAATTGGAACAGATGCGTACTCGTGACGTCACCAAACGCTCGGCTCTTCTTGAGCTGCACCTCCTGTTATAATAGATTCTAGACCAGGGGTCACCAACATGGTGCCCGCGGGCACCAAGGGGCCCTAAAGGGCTACAAAGGGTGCCTTTAGAGTCTTCTGAAAATAGAACGACTCAACAGTGAGCTACGTTTGAAATTTCATTGTATTCTGTTGCCCTCCTTTTTAATCAGTTATAGAACATTTAATCATTTAATCATATATGGCATTTAAGCATTTACAGAGGTTTCAAAATGAAAATGTCTAAATTTAAAGAAACGATAAAGATATGTTTATAATGTATGAAGTTTAGGTGAACGTTGACCCTTGCAATTCATAGGTCAGTATTGGTAGCCCTTCCTGTGACTCAGTACCCCTGAATTAGCCCTCAACTGTAAAAAGGTTGGTGACCGCTGCTCTAGATAATAACAAATTATAACTTTTTTCAATTAGTGGGGAGAGAATGATGGACACAGTCAGATAAACAAAAATGGAAATTTTGCAGAGAAAATCGGCATCAGACACACGGCTATGCTGAGAGAGGGCTGCTGCAGACGGGCTAAAATCGGCATCAGACACACGGCTATGCTGAGAGAGGGCTGCTGCAGACGGGCTAACTCAGCACTGACTGCCTTTACTCTCGGAGGTCCACTGGTTGCCGCGGTCCTCTCAACATCGGAAATCTTTATTTTTAATTACGCATTAAATCGGTAAATGGACCATATAGTGACGCTTTAAAGTATAATATTCTGGCCTCAAATTATCTTAAAATGTACTTTTGTTGAACTACAGCAACAGAAAAGATAACGTTTAACTTTCAATGGAGCGCTTCATTGAAAGCTGCTGCTGCCGCGGTGCATGCTGGGACAGCTGTTAATCTCACGAACAGACGAGTCTGCTCTGATGCATACTGGGTAAAGAGGGCGGGGCGAGAACAACACCCGGAGATTTGGTGCGTTTTCGGTCTGGCGTTCTCAGCAATTGGAACAGTGTTCGGGCTGAGGCTGATCACGAGTACACGAGAACGCTCAAGAACGCATATTGGGAAAGCTTCTGTTCAGCAACAGCTAGTGGTGGCAACTTCTTCTTCTGCACGGGAATGCTACAGGCTGCTTTCCTGCTCATGCTGCCACCATCTGGTGAATTTCTAGTACTGCACACTTTACTCAGATCAGCTCAGAAGCGAGACGCGAGGCTCTTGGGGAAACATCCGGGGCTGTAGCCCAGGTAGCCGCCCCCTAGATCCACCACTGGGGTCCAGAGGACCAGGCTTCAGAACCGCCAGAAGGTTCTGCTGTTTGGTGTCATGTCAGTGTAGTGTTGTGACCCAGAGCGGAGCGGTGACTCACCCGTAGCTCCACCCACTTGTCCAGGAGCCGCTGGTCATTAAACTCGCACAGCAGCCCTGAGGACGTGATGCTAAAGGTGGAGGAGGATCGTCGGCCGCGGCCGCACGCCACGTCACTGAAGAAGTTGTTCCGGAGGTCTCCAAGCAGACCCGAGCGCCCCAGCAGGGGAACGGTGGCGTTTACCTGCACAAGGACAGAACACGGATCAGAACAGCTCCCCCCAAGGCGGCTTTGATCAGCTCACACTGATGACAGAACCTTGGAGGTCTTGGTGTGGTCCAGGTACCAGAACTTCACATGCCGGTTGCCGGAGGTAACGAAGTAGGAGCTGTCACTGGAGAAGGAGACGGCCGTCACCTTGCTGGACACCTTGTTTGCTGCGACCACCACGTTTTTCTGAGCAGCACAGGAGAACAGGCCACGGATTACGGACGGAACCACGGCGGGACAGAACCGGCGCCTGGAGCGGACCTACCTTCCAGTTCCACACGTTCACCATCATGTCGTGCTGGTAGCCCACGCTGACGATGTACTTCCCGTTAGGAGAGAACGCCACGCAGGAGATCCCGTATTTATGTTCCTGCAGCTCGGCCACCTGAGTACGCTCCGACACCTCCCAGATTCGAACCGCCGGCATGTGGCCGCTCTAATGCAGACAGAGGAGAACCGTCAGAACCATGAGAGGCTGGGATTCCGCCATGGTTCTGGTGGGAGGTTCTACACTCACCTCCCCGGTCACCATGTATTTCCCATCAGGAGAAAAGGCCAGCGTGGTGATCGCCTTCCTGCACAGTCAGAAACTTCTACTGAGGTTCTGGTTCTGAAGGAACGATGTTCCCATCCAATGAGACAGATCAAACAGTTGGATCCATCTCAGGCTTTAGTGTTGCTCCAGAACCAGGACTTTTTCCCCTTGGCATGATGACCAGGTCCAAACTACTCATAGAGGCTGACATTTAAGCATCAAGCAACATTTCTGGATGGTCTGGATCTACGTCTTCAAGGTTCTAGAAAATCTGACACCAAACTGAACCAACAGGATAAACAGTTCTAACTGAAACAAGGAGACTCTGGAGCTTCCAGTTCCAGCAGAACCATCAGTAGATGGCTCCACAGTGGTCCCACTGGGACCGGTGGTCCTACGGGTAGAAGACCAGATGGTTCTGTTTCTGTGGATCCCCAGCTTGGCTATGGTCCGTCCATCCTCATGTTCTCCAGGACCATCTGGGCAACTGGTTTAGGAAAGGATGAATCTGCCAGAACTTTTAGAGGATGGTTCTGTGTGAAAGAGCTGAAGCTTTAAAGGAACCCAATTGTTTCTGCTGAACCTTCTAGCAGCGTTCCAGAACCACACCGGGGATTTACAGAAAGCAGAAGGCTTCTGGTTTCTCTGGATTCCCATGAACACACTTCTTGTTCAGAAAATTCCTTTCCGATGCTAGAGGGATCATTTTAATGCATAAAGGGAGTTTTTCCTCTCCACTGTCACTACAAGCATGCTTAGTGTGAGGGATTGCCTTTGAGTCAATGAGTCGATGCAATCAGCTGGTTTTCCTTAGATAGAAAACTGTAAAGCGCCTTGAGATGACAAGTGTTGTGAATTGGTGCTATAGAAATCAACTGAACTGAACTGAATTAATGTCTCAAACATCTGAGCTTAATTATTCAACCAACAGGAAGCTAGAGCAGAAAGGACTGAGCAGGTCAGAGGCCATTTTACCTGGAACTGTTGAAGATGTGATGCTGTTTGTTCTTCCGAGGATTCAGCAGGATCACCACACACCTGAAGAAACGCAAAGATCAGTGAGAATTCAAAGACAAACAGGAAGGAAACATCAGCGCTATCGACCCACAGTAGCATCTCATTGTTCAGATTCATTTAACATGGTTTACTTCGACCTTAGCGCTGCCCTCTGTGGGTGAAACATGTACACTGCAGCTGCATTCTCTGGGCCTATAAGCAAACTGTTCAAACTGATGACACATTCTGTCATTAGGACCATGTTTCATGTTGTGCGGACCAGAACAACCAGGACTGGACCATCAAATGTAACAAAAGCTTTTGTCTGTTTGCACCAGAAAGTTCTTTATCTTCCACCAAACTTGGCTGATCTCATGTCACGAGCTGAAGGTTCAGTTAGACCTCAAGAACGTAGCGAGAGGAGGCTCCAGGAGCCCTAACTGAACGTGGTGGTTCTGGTGATATAGTCCTTCCTCTCCACTGTCGCCCAGTGCTTTCTCATGCTGGAAAACTGCCTTCAAGGAGATGGGGTGGAACCCTTGGGGGGTGTTTAGGATGTAAAGAACAGGAGGAGCAGGTTCTGAGGATGGGGGTTGGGGTGGGGAGGTGGTGTACCCTAGTTCTGGACCTTGGGTAAGACCAGAATTTTCTTCAACAGTTTAATGGTTGTCGGTTTTATTCCCAGTCATGTTGAAGAGCCTGTCTGCTGGTCAGATCACAGCCTCCTCCGCTTCTAGAACCATTAACATCTGCATCATTGTTATTCAGGTCCACCCTGATCAGAACCGAGCCTTTTTCATCCCCACGAGTTGATCACAGTAGGCCGCCATCACTGACCGCCACTGAAACATCAAGTCTGAACATCTGGGGCTGCTGAGGATCCCGGTCTGAACATCTGGACCTGCTGAGGATCCCGGTCTGAACATCTGGAACTGCTGAGGATCCCGGTCTGAACATCTGGAACTGCTGAGGATCCCGGTCTGAACATCTGGACCTGCTGAGAATCCCAGTCTGAACATCTGGACCTGCTGAGGATCCTAGAATATCATCTGAATGTATCACTAACATCATAGATATTAAGCTTCCTGTTAATTTTAATGGGTATTATTGTTGTTAAGGAGAGAATAGTTATAAACTTAGATGGCAGGAGCATCAATAGAGGGTCAGGATAGTCTGGTAGCAGCTGGTTCCTGGGTCCAGTGTTTGCACGCTGTTGTTCTGCTGCAGCACCCCCCTCCTCCTCCTTCACCACCACCCCATTCCTGTACAGTAGCTGATTCTAACTCTCTGGGTTTTACCTACAAACATTTGATGAACCCAGCTGAGGGGGGAGGGACGGCCGAGAGCCAAAGCATTAAAGGATTTCATCACGTGGTTAAAAGGATCCAGTCAGCAGTTTCCAGTGGCTGGTTGAGAACCAGCTACAGTCCTCCATCTGCAATGCAGCAGGGGGCGGGGTCTGGACACCTGGAGCTCTGCAGCTGATCTGGTGCGTTCATCACAGCCACAGACAGTGAAAAGCTGATGCTCTGAGATGAGATCCTGACCGACAGACGGAAGCGTTGGAAGATCTGCCTCGTTAAATCATTCTGCTCTGATTAAATCGGTGTTACAGAAAAAAAAAACATCTGAACCCCCCACCCCACTCACTGCTGTCACGAGATGCTCACCTCCTAGACCTGCAGCTGATTGGATGATTGGTTTCCATAGAAACCAGCCCCGTTTCATATTAAACAGTTGTTGTTTTTTCTCTGGCCTGGTGCAAAAACTAGCGGTTAATCTGCTGGACTAGATCTGACCAATCAGGATCAGATCCTTTACTTGGTCACCACCAGTTTAAGGCTTTCTTTAGGCGGACATTTTTAATTGAAAAAACTTCCTGGATGGAAAGTGAAACGTCTTCAAACTTGGAAAGAAATCCAGGGGATTGTTTTTGAAGTTTTTGTTATGACCATGACCTGGATGACTGATCATCTTCACCAGCTTATAGAACTCAGAGAATCCACGCCGTGTTTATCAGATAGACTTAATCATTTCACTAGAAAGTGAGTACAGACTCGTGTCCTCGCCATGTTTTTGAGAAGAACACAGCAGGCCGCATAAATCTGGATCAATTGGAACAGAAGCGTACTGATGACATCACCACATTCAAAGCTCGTCTAGAGCTGCATTTCACCTACTGTTATTAATAGTCTCTAGATAATAATAAATTGTGATTTTTTTCATTTATTGGGGGAATAATAACGAGCACAGTCAGATAAACACAAATCAAATGAACATTTTGGCAAATAAAACAAAAAACATCCCCATAATAGCCAGCGGTACTTCACACACAGCTATGCTGAGACAGGCTGACTAAGGGGAGTTAGCCGCAGCCGCTGCAGACGGGCTGCGGTTAGACCTAGCTAACGTTACAATTGGAGCTCCGCTGGTTACCGCGGTCCTCTCAACATCAGAACTTTTTTTTATTACGCACTAAATCCATAAATGGGCGATACAGTGAAGCATAAAGTATAATATTCTCGCCTCAAATGATCTTAAAACTTACTTTTATTCAACAACGGCAACAGAAAAGAGAACTTTTAACTTAATACTCTGAGCTCTGTGAGCGCTAACCTGGAAGCTGCTGCTGCCGCAGTGCATGCTGGGACAGCTGTCAGTCTGGAGGATGGACAAGTCTGCATTGATGCATGCTGGGTAAAGAGGGAGGGGCCAGAACAACATCAGGGGTCCTTGTCTATTCTCTGTCTGCTGTTCTTGTGAATTGGAACAGTGCTACACTGCAAAAATGATCTAGAAATAAGTAAACATTTCTTAAATTAAGTGTATTTCCCCTCAATTTGAGCAGGTAAATATTATTTGCCAATAGAATGAGTAGTTTTGGTATTAAAATAAGATATTTAGATAATATGCACTTGAAATAAGACAATGTAATTGTCTTATTTTAAATGTAAATTGTCTTGTTCTACTTGCAAAGTGTCTCACTTACCTCCTAAATTCAAGAAAAAATGTACTTATTTTATTATTATTATTTATTTATATATTATTTATTATTATTATTAAGGAAGAAATGACTTATTTAGATTTTGATTTTTTGCAGTGTAGGGCTGAGGTCTGAGGGGAGCAGCTAGCAATGCTGTGTTCACCAGGCTAACCATGCTAAATGCTAAACGCTGTATAATGACTGTAGTCATTTGAAATGATGGTGAACCCGAGTTACCTGTAGAGCTGTTATGTCCACCCTGTCCACAGAGTCCCCCGCATAATATTCATGGTTCCTAACAGAATATAAAAGAGGCCTTGATGTTTCTGTTAAAGTGACACCAGGGTAAAGTTCACTCCTTTGTTCTGTCTTCAGGATGATGGGTCCAGTACAGATGATCCATCAGAAGGTTTAGCAGCTCATGAACTGCTGCTCCCTCCATCTGCCATCACTGTTCATGTTTTCTTTAGTTTTTTTAATGTTTCTTTGATCCATTTTGTTCGGCATCAGGCTGCTTCCTCCCATACCTGCCCCGCCCATGTCTCCCGCCACACTGTGATTTACTCACCCAGCAGGATAGGCCAGTAGTCCAGTACGGGGGTCACAGGACAGCGCTCGGTTACCCAGGGACGTGATCCCAAGAACCTTCTCCAACGTCACCTGCAGGGCAAAGGTCAGAGGTCGTTTTGATGCTTTGAGACATTTCTTCTCAGAATGCTGCTGCGTTCTCTTTCCTTTCAAGCTAACTCTAAAAAATATATCTGCAAAATGTCATATTCAACAACGAAAAATACTTAGTTAATACTTAGTTAAGCAAATTGTGCAAATCAGATTTATAGTCGCCACACTGCATATATATTAGAATCTGCCCTTAAATTACAGTCAAACCCATTTACACAGTAACAGATAAAAACCTTTAGATAAACCAAACATTACCGCCACATATCTGACTATAACCATTAAAAGAACCATCTTTAGTAATTTCAGATGGAAATACAGTCGTGGCCAAAAGATTTGCAAAATGATTCAAATGTTAATATTCACAAAGTCTACTGCTTCAGTTTTTATAGCAGCAATTTGCATATACTCCAGAATGTTATAAAGAGTGATAAGCATAACAGGAATTAATTGCAAAGTCAATATTAGCCTAGAAAATGAACTCCAAAACACTGCAGCCATGCCTTAAAAGGAGCAGCTAACATGGTTTCAGTGATTGCTCCATTAACACAGGTGTGGGTGGTGATGAGGACAGGGCTGCAGATCAATCTGTCATGATGAAGTAAGAATGACACTTTAAAAAGAGGCTGCTGCTTGGCATCATTGTTCCTCTTCTGTGAACCACGGTTATCTCTAAAGAAACATGTGAAGTCATCATTGCACTGCATAAAAATGGCCGAACAGGAAAGAGAGTCGCAGCTAGAAATATTGCACCAGCTTGTTGGGAGAAGACGAGGTGAGCGCTACCACCAGTCTGGTCTCATGCCAACTGTAAAGCATCCTGAAACCATTCATGTGTGGGGTTGCTTCTCAGCCAAGGGAGTCTGCTCTCTCACAGTCTGACCTAAAAACACAGCCATGAATAAAGAATGGTACCAGAATGTCCTCCGAGGGCAACTTCTCCGTTCAGCTACTGATGGACCGTCAGTGGTGGACGGTCTTCTAACCAACAACCTCAAGGTTTCACTGGAATGAAGCCAATGATTCCAGCTGAGTGATGCTGCAGGAAGCAGGCATGGCTGGTTCTCTACCTCAGATACGTTTAATAAAACACACAGTGAGGACGCTGCAGGCAGGACAGTAGGACGTCCAATTTTATCTTTGCTTGTTTGGACAGACTGAGGGATGGACTGAGGGACCGAATGAGGGACGGACTGAGGGACCGAATGAGGGACGGACTGAGGGATGGACTGAGGGACCGAATGAGGGACGGACTGAGGGACCGAATGAGGGACGGACTGAGGGACGAATGAGGGACGGACTGAGGGACTGACTGAGGGACCGAATGAGGGACGGACTGAGGGACTGACTGAGGGACCGAATGAGGGACGGACTGAGGGACCGACAGAGGGACGGACTGAGGCACGGACTGAGGGGCCGAATGAGGGACAAATGGACAGAGGGTGTCTCTGAGGCTTACTGTCTCTTGGCTGGATGTCCTCTATCCAGATCTTTGGACCTCCTGGTTTGTCAGCTAATAACTGAGTCCAGTTCTGGTTCCGACCCGTTTCAGCAGACAGACTTACTTCCTGCTCCATGGAACCGAAGCTCCAGGACACGGTTCAGTTCAGAAGCTAACAGCTCCAGCTGTGTCTCAGGCCGTCCTCCTCTCGGCCGTGTCTCAGGCCGTCCTCCTCTCGGCCGTGTCTCAGGCCGTCCTCCTCTCGGCCGTGTCTCAGGCCGTCCTCTCAGCCGTGTCTCAGGCCGTCCTCCTCTCAGCCATGTCTCAGGCCGTCCTCCTCTCAGCTGTGTCTCAGGCCGTCCTCCTCTCGGCCGTGTCTCAGGCCGTCCTCCTCTCAGCCATGTCTCAGGCCGTCCTCTCAGCCGTGTCTCAGGCCGTCCTCCTCTCAGCTGTGTCTCAGGCCGTCCTCCTCTCACATGACTCTCCTCCTTCCTACTCTCCTCTTCTATTTTCATCCGTTCTGCTCTGGGTTCAGAGGGAGAACAGAGGCCCGACTGAAGCGCCTGAGTGGTTCTGGGTCAGGGAGTGTAAACACCAGCCCAGCTTATTTATAAAGCACCACGTGGAGCTGCACATGCAGCCCACACTGAAGAAAGCAGACAAGATAAGCGTTACAGCAGAGTCGACCCTCCATCAGGCGCTAAAGGTTTCAGCAAGTTCATGTTTGAAGAAGAATCTCCTGCTCAGAAACTCCCAGAAAGGACAGAACCAGCGACCAATGATGGCCTCTGAGGTTCTGCTCTGTAGGAGAACAGCAGCTGGTCAGGGTCTTCCAGGAAGCTTCCACCTCAGCAGATAAGACTTACAGCAAAACATTGAAAAACTGAACAAATTAATCATTAAAACTCAAAACTCATTTTTGAGAAAATTGAAAAAAATAAATGCTGTTAATTGCACTTTAGTCGCAATATTAGTGACTTTTCAGACCCTTCTAGCACTTTGATTTCTAAAAAACTCC